CTCTCTCTCTCTCTCTCTCTCTCTCTCTCTCTCTCTCTCTCTCTCTCATATTTTGAGGTTTTGCTTTTTTGTATGTTTTGTTTTTTAATTTCAAGTTAGACTTGATTTCTAGAAACTACAGGCATAAATCCATTAGGTTTTCTAGAGAGCATTTTGGAAAGTGGTTTGCCATTGCCTTCTTCCATGGTCCAGAGGGAAGCTAATGGCCTAAACCAGCTAGCTGGTTCTGTGACTAAAATCTTTAATCCTTCAGCAAACTGATTGAATTTTAAAAATAGGTATCAATTATTAAAAATGGGTAAAAATGAAGTTCTATTCTACATAAAATACATTCCAGTATGAGGGTAACTAACTGCATTAGGAAACTAGAGCTTCTCTTGTTGTTTTTTTAAAGTCTGTTTAGCTCTCCTTATGATAAATCCATCTTTCTATTTGTTTAAACTGATTTTCAAATGTAACTCTTGTAGACTACATTTTTTTTTCTCTTAAGTTTTGATTTCTAAAAACACCTGATGTTTGTATAGATATCCCCCGCAAATAAATTCTAATCAAAATCAAAGCATTTTTGTTGGCTCTACAATTCTTACCTGCCCTAAAGAAGAAAAATGCTCATCATGCTATTATTATATGAATTGCAGTTGCATATATAGATCATTATTTCTGTGAATGAGATATATACAACTGTGACAGTTCAGTATTCACAGAAACTTATTCATCTGAACATCTACCCAATACTATGTAAAAGAGTTAGTAAGGGTCTAGCTAAGAAATCTGACTTCTCCATCTAGTTTTATTTTTAAACCTAATAGACTATGTACTAATGAAAGAGAGTTAGGCTTACATATCTATGGTGCTATAGGCTATAGAAATATCTACTCACAACCTGCTTGTATCTCAGGGGGAGTATTCAAAAGCATCATGGCAGTGGCAGCATCAATGTCAGGATCTGGAAAAATCAACCAATAAATACATTACTTTACAAATGGGACAATTCCCATCCCCATGACTTGACAGAATGAACTGAATTGCTCTCGTAAAAAAAAAACCAGAGAAAAGTCCTAATATACAACGGGCGTACCACAATTCTGCTTATCAACGAGTCTATGCTGTAGTTTCTTTCAATTTTTGCAGAGAGATCTATCTGTCAGGTTTTACTGCTTTCACATTCACACAGTGTCCTAGGGTACCTTAAAGCTGATTTTTTAAAAATACTTTCAATTGCCAGGAGACTCTGCAACAGTGTCTTAATCCTCTCAAATATGCAGGTAGGTTTTTTTTTAACAATTGGGATCTAGTCTGATTCCTTTCTCCAATAACACTGGTCTGCTTTGCACACTGTGTTAGGTCATAAAGTGATTTCCTTTTGGCATTATATGTGAATATATATGTTAAGGTTTGTGAGTCATGATATAGACCTTATCATATTAATTAGGTAATTGTGTCAGAAAGTCTATGTGCATCACTAGCCACCTTTCATCTCCATTCATCTCCAACCACCTAGCTTTTGTCTGGATGCACGTTAAAAGAGCTGCACTATGCTGTACTGCAATTCATTAGTGCACAAAGGCTAAATTGATTGCTGTCTTATCAGGCCATATATATTAAAGGCGGGTGATAAAAGTAGAGTACAAGCCAAATAGTTTAAACAATTATATACATGCTACTATTGTTAAAACAAGCACTAATGTGTTTCTGAATACACCAGAGGTTGATCTTCACTTGAAAGAGGCTTTACACCTCTTTGCATATAAATTCTGGGAGTTCCCCCCCCCCCATCAGCAAGGGTTAATAAAAGAAAAATCAGTATACAGAGCTCAAAAATATGTATATAAAAAAACAGAGCCCACCTGAAGGCAACAAAGACATTTGCATAAGGTCCAGTTTTACTTCTAATAAATTATCACTGAGGGCTTGCCATTATCCTTAATCAGTTTTTGAATCCATCAAATGCAGTTAGTTGACAGATGGTAAGTAAGAGACACAGAGCAAAATATGATTCTTTTATAACTATATTCCTTAGTCTCTGAGAAGAGGCCACATGGCTGCTATGGAAATAGATGTTGTCATGACAACAGTAAACAACCAAGAACAGCCAGTGAATAAGCTGAAAAGAACATCTGCCCCAGCAAAGCGTCCCAGCTGCCCTGGGGCGAAACTCACTAATAGTGTAGTGATGCTGCATGACAGAGAAAGACGCCTATGCCATGTTCAAATAAATGAAGTGTGCAATTGAAGCAGACATAGAAAGCACACCCTTGTTGACTGCTGCCTCTATGCTGCTAAACTGAATGACTAATGGGTTTCTTTTTTCCCTTTCTTTCTTGAGGTTGGGGGGTGGGGGAGAGAAAAAGAAAAAAATACTTGTCACTACTTAAAACTAAATTACATACCACAAAATTCAATTTGTGGTTAATAGCTTCTTGGCACTTTATTTTGGATATTATCTTGGAAAATTACACTTTAGTGTAAAAAATACATCTTTCACATATGTTAGAAATGCAGTTCAATTTCAAGGGCAATAATATAATAAAGTATAAAACCCTACAATCTGCTCGGATGTACAATGTGAGATGCTGTAATGGTTACTTTCCTCCTTTTCTTTCTCGGGGAGAGAGACTCCCCTGTTACCTTTTATGGTTATATTTCTCTGAGGGTCATGTTACTCTCATTTATAGATTATGCCTTTTTAAACAGTAAACTCATGCCCTGTGCTAACAGAAATTGAGTCAAAGCAAGGCTACTGAGAAACAAGGAGGAAAGCATTCATAGGCTTGGGAAATTCCCTGAGGGTAACAGAACTTCAAAAATAAATTGTTCTACATGGAAATATATCACAGAAAACATAAAAGGGGGAAAAGATGAATAATTTATTTCATTCCAGAATAAGCATGTTTGGTCTGTTGGCTGCAGTCTGAATAAGAACATAATTAAGCGAAGATGTTTACCTACTATCTATACCTTTGTCTGTCTGTCTGTCTGTCTGTCTGTCTGTCTGTGTCTCTTTCTTATATATCTATTTATCTTTACCTAGACACCTCTGACTGCAATGCCACATGTTTCTGAATATATTTATTGATATAAAAGAACAATCCCCAAGTGATGCCAATCAAAATGTGATTGCTCACTGAAAAATATAATTCCAACAAACCTGAAGCATACCCATCTGGAGCAGGTTGATATGGAATTGTTCAAAATCTCCCCAGGAGTTGCAGAACTTTCTGCATGGTGATAGTTGAAGATCTTTTATTTGTTTCCAAGACAGAATTGAAATTCAAACTATTTTTACTGAATAACTGACTGAAATTAGGATGTTTGATAAATATAAGCCACACAAATATAGTCATTTGTGTAATATTTTTCAAACTTGATACTAAATATTTTTTTTCAAATAACTTAATCAAAGTACTTTCCAATTATATGCAGAATTATTAGTGGATATCGTTGCAAAATCAAACCTTTAAAGATGAATATCTTAAAATGTACATATTGTACATTTGTATATATCAGTAAATAAATTACCCGCTATAATATAAGGTAGTATTCTTTTTAGTTGTTGTTGCTTCTAAGAGCAAAAAAAGTTATATGACCTGCAGCATAAAGCCAACTAAATGACATATGTGAGAAGTATATAAAACAAGTTACTTTGCTGGGAGGATACCAAATTTATCAGCTATTAATCCTTTCTTGAAAAGCAATTCTCGGGTCCAAATGAGACAGTATTAATGCTTCTAGAATGGCTCTCATAAAAGTTCCGCCTCAACAATACATAGGCCTGGATGATTTTCTCTCAGGTCCCAGAACTCTCAAACAAGCTAGAGGTCACTATTTTTTATTTTTTTATTTATATTTAGAAACTATCCCTCCTCCCTCATAGCGGTGACTCTGGGCTCTATTTCATAATCTCTTCGTGGGGAGACTTTATATGGAGCAAACTTGTGAATGATCCCAGTCCTCTTCTTGATCCAGAGATGCATTCTGAGGAGTTGAACCATTCACTGGCGCCTCTTATTACCAAGGTCCACTCCACTTCACTATCACTTCCCCAGAGCACCTTTGGATGACAACAGTTTTCCAAAGGCTGTGCTGTCTTCAGAAAGCTATTCTGTTTTTGGAACAAAGAGTTCCAAAGACAGTGCAGCTTTCCAAAGACAGTACTACTTTTGGAAAAAGGTAGGAAAGTAGGAAACATTCACTAGAGAAGATGGGTCCAAAAAGGTATAAGTTTGGTGCAGAATCCTCCAAGACACTTAACCTTTTGAAAAAATTATTTAAGAAAACTAGAAGTGTTCACACTCAATTTCTGTGCATGACTACAACAAACGTATTCAGAACTCTAGGATATAATTAAAAGGTTCCTGATAATGATTGAATTAAAAACACTTGCCAAGTATTTTAAAATCAATAATATAATTGCTCAGAGACTGAGCAGGAAGTCCCTAGTTCAAATCTTATCTTTACATAAATTCACACTCAAGGGTATTAATTAAGTCACCTTTCTCTGTAATCCAGAAGGAATAGTTAGGATAGTTATAAAGATTATAATAAGAATGTCAGTGTAGTTTTAACATATTAAAAGTGTCACAATGTTTATTTTTATGTAATCTGGTTGCAATAGACAATGGGTATGATATATTAAATTTATATGCTGCCCAACTCCCAGCAACTTGAGAGTTCATAATTCCTGAACTTTGAAATATAATCCAAATGACATGCACACATTACACTCATACACAAAATGTTTTCGTCCCAGGCTATACAGAGTCTTATAGATACAGATGGAGATTAAAGCCCATTTATAAATGGAGCACTTCAAATTCTTTCTTTTATATTGCTGTTTAGCGACTGAAGCCTGAGAATAATAGGTATGGGTTTATGCATATTTTTTAGAAATTTCTAATCTGAAGCAGATTAGAAAACCATCATCTCATACAATTAACCAAGATACTCCTGCATCTATAACATGTAAACTTTTCCAAGATTTCCTTCCTACACATCCTTTGTTTGCTCCAAAAATTATTTTAACCAGGAAAAAAATGTCCTGAAACATTAATGGTTATCAAACCAATTCAAACCTTCTATATACAAGAAGAGTTATTTTAAAAATTTACGCAGAAAACCCTTTTAGAAAGTGGTAATCCAATTCATTTTAGAAATACTATAAATTTGTTTCTAAGTTGCTTGAACAACATTGCTTTCAGTTCTAGAAGTAAATTGTAAACCAAAGCTAGTAAATTTTTCATAAAGATTTTTATAAAAACCAGATGAGAAAGTTTTCTTCTGCACTTTTCTAATTCAACTATTAATTTCCCACATGCCCATCTCCAGAATTTACAGTAATTTCTCTGTAGATTTAAGGTAAGATCTAGAACAGAAGAACATGCAAAGACACATTGCATGGACATACACATTAATTAAAACAATAAAAAAGTTCAAAATCTGACAGCCTTTTTAGGCAAAAAGAAAAACACTAAATTAAAATGCAATTTACATTTTTCTTCATATATGATTTAGGTGATATAAACAATAAAAAGAATCCAGACTTGTTTATTACGAAAAAACCTTTTAACAAAATTTACTTGAAGTAACATAAAAACAGACTGTTGATTTTACTCTCCAATTGTCTCTTACATGAACTAATTGTCTCTTATATCTTTAACAATCATTATCTGGCAGCAAATAAAATGCATTAAGGAAGCTTCAGTGCAAAGAAATACTCCACTATTCTTGTTGACTCTTTTAAAGGTCTAAAAAATTGCAAACACTTAAATTACTTTATCTAACAGAAGAAGACAATTGCTATTCTGGAAAATACAACTGTCTTACTTTTCTATATGTCCAGTAGGGGGTAGAAAAATATAGTATAAAAAATAACTCTGGATTATTTATTTCAAACAACTTAATTCTGAATGTGATAATTCAGGTTTTTTTCTCTTTTCAAACAACAGC